TTTTTTTTTTTTCTCTTCTTTTTTTTATTTTTCATAGATGTAATCATCCATGTCAATTATCCTTCCTTTGTTCTTTCTCTGCAAATGATTGTTTGATTCTTGTGGGCGACTGAGGAATCACCATTTTAGGTACCTTTTTTCTGTTTCTTGGGTTCTGTTCTTGAATTTGTTGCCCCGTGAAATGTTAAAGTTTGCAACTTTTGTTCTGTAATTGGCTTTTTTTTTTTGGTTTCTTGTTTGGTTTTAATGGCGATTTACACTTAATTGAAGTGATGAACTGTGGTTCGATTTTTTTTTTATTTTTTTTTTGTGTTTCTTTTTATGCAAGATTTTGTGTTTCTTACTGTCTTGATTCTTGTGATGAATGGGTTTATTCTCTTTTTGTTGTTTTCATTGTTTTCTTGGCGTTTTAGTAGTGTTTTGGATGAGGGTTGTACTGTTTAATGTTTCGATTTGGTAAAGGTTGTACCTTTTTGTCATAAATATTGCATATTTGTTGAGAATTTGAATATTTGTTGGGATAATTTTCTGGGCTGAGGAGAAATTGATTGCCCCTTTTGTGTCTGCTCTATAGTTTCGAAGTTCCAGGTTTTGAAGCTTTGCCCTTTAATCACTATTTATTGATTAGGGAAATGCTAAGGTCCCGTTACAGAACCATTCTATCGTGGTTTGTAACCATTAGATCATCGTGTAACCGTCAGAGATAGTTGATCTAACGGTTACAAACCCCGAGGGAATGATTCCGTAACGAGACCGTAGCATATTCCGATTGATTAATTTAATACATTTTTTTCCTTGGTGAAAGCATAGTGCAATATTAGTTCAAGTGACAAAGTAGTTGTGGCTTATTGATAACAGATGATATTGCTCAACACATGATCGATAAATTGTTGTTTACTTCTGTTTCTATATGTCATCATTATTGCTGAGTGAATGTATGTAATGTGTTACTGAAGATATTTGATAAACTTTGGTAAAAAATTGCCAACACTAACGTTCATATTTACTTCTTGTTGTGTTGGTTGTTTAATCATTTCAGTCTGTAAATCATTTTATGTGAATTTAACGACAAAAAAGTTCGTATATTGTGGACTGGGTATCCATTTTAGCATAAATATGTTTGTGCATACACATTGCTTTTCACCATACTCGGATTCTGAATCCAGATGGAAGTTATGTGTACTCCAAGTTGACATGTGTATCTTTATGTCTAAATCTTCTCTTTCAGTTTGGTCTTGATATGTATACCTTTCCAGCTGTTATCATCTACTGTATATCGCTAATTATTAGTTTGTTATTAAATTTATCAACAGTTCATCACTTGTTCTCCAAATTACATTGGCCCTTTGGTTAGTCTTTCTTTTCTTCCTTACGAGCCTGTCGAAAAGAGTTGACTCAACTTTTACTGGGAAAAAAACATTCAGTCTCTCTCTCCTTCTTTCTCACTCAATATTCCATTTAGAAGCCGATAATCACCCTTTTCTCACTCGATTGTCACATAATCAATATTATCATTATAGTCCTTACACGTCTGTTATATATATTTTTTAACTACCGATTTACATACAGATCATGTTACGTGCGAAGCATCTCGGCACGCTTTCCCAGTCCGCCCGTTCCTTCTTCCTTAGCGGCTCAAGATGTAGCGCGGCTGATGGGAGCAGTTCATGCACCTGCACAGACGAAGAGACTTGCATTTCCAAACGGCCCTTAAGAACAAGCATCCAATCGGCCTCCCTTCTGTCAAAATCTCCCGTGGCTGTAAGTCCACTAGCTTCAGCTTCTTCAGTCGGTTTAGTGAAAAAAGAAGCAACTCCCAACAAAACAAATGAAAATGGCTGTTTGTCAAGGCAAGAAGAAGATTCCAATAATTATGCAGCAGCAAACGAAATTAATGCTATGTCATCACCACCTATAACCGACCATTTTATTAAGGCGGGTATGGCTGCAGTTGGGCTTTTGTCCGACTTGGTAAATTATCGGATTCCGATGACAGAAGGGAGCTCGATGCTGACATCATCTGGTAACTCGGTTGTTGAACGCGTGAAGCCCGTTTCTACCGTGAGGTCTGTAAATACGAAAATCGCTAAAAAGGACAACAAAGCTTATGTAAAACCATCATCCGAACAAAATGGCTCGTATGTTTCAACCGGGAGAGAGAATAATAATAGATCTGTTCCGGGTAAAATTGGGCTGAGCGAATCGAATAATAATTTATCGAGAAATTTCGTCGAGAGTAACGGGGAGCATCGTGATAGGATGATAAAGTCCATTCCTCAAAAGTCGTCTAGAGGCTATTCGAATCGATTCACACCAAACACGCCACAATCCGAATCGAAGTTTGCTGCTAGCCGGTCTGAAGGTTTTACCAAAGGGAAACCAATTTCGAGGCCATTTTTAAGCTCAAATACAGTTGTCGAGAATGTTTACCGAATTCTGCAACAGTGCAAATGGGGGCCCACTTCAGAGGAGGCTCTCGGAAGGCTAAACTGCTCACTAGACGCGTACCAAGCTAACCAAGTGCTCAAACAGCTTCAAGATTACTCTGTAGCTCTCGGTTTTTTCTACTGGCTGAAAAGAAAACCGGGCTTCAAGCACGACAGCCACACATACACGACCATGGTGGGTATTCTCGGCCGAGCTCGACAATTCGGGGCAATCAGTAAATTGCTCGGTCAAATGACTTATGATGGTTGCCAGCCGAATATCGTCACGTACAATCGTCTTATTCACAGCTATGGCCGGGCGAATTACTTAAATGAGGCCATGGGAGTTTTCAATCAGATGCAGCAAGTCGGATGTGAGCCCGACCGAGTAACTTACTGTACGCTCATCGATATCCACGCGAAATCAGGCTATCTCGATGTAGCAATCGATTTATATCATAGAATGCAAGAAGTCGGGCTTTCGCCGGATACTTTCACTTACAGCGTGATCATAAACTGCCTCGGGAAAGCGGGACACCTGGCGGCAGCCCATAAGCTGTTCTGCGAAATGGTCGATCAAGGCTGCGTGCCGAATCTCGTGACCTATAATATAATGATTGCTTTGCATGCGAAAGCTCGAAACTACCAGAGCTCTCTTCAGTTATACCGTGAGATGCAGAGCGCGGGATTTGAGCCCGATAAAGTTACGTACAGTATAGTCATGGAGGTGCTCGGGCACTGTGGCTACCTCGACGAGGCCGAGGCCGTTTTTGCCGAGATGAAGAGGAAGAATTGGGTTCCGGACGAACCCGTTTACGGGCTTCTCGTCGATCTGTGGGGAAAATCAGGTAATGTGGAGAAGGCCTGGGAGTGGTATCGAGCCATGCTGAACGCGGGCCTAAGGCCCAACGTGCCCACATGTAATTCTCTACTGAGCGCCTTTCTTAGAGACCATAGGCTTCGAGATGCGTACAATTTGCTCCAGAGCATGATTGGACTGGGCCTGAGCCCGTCTCTTCAGACTTACACTCTTCTCCTCAGCTGCTGCACGGAGGCCCAAACTTCGTTCGACATGGCCTTTTGCTGCCAGCTCATGACTGTCTCGGGCCACCCGGCCCACACGTTCCTTCTCTCCATGCCAGCTCCCGGGCCCGACGGGAAAAACGTTCGGGACCACGTCAGCAACTTTCTCGACATGATGCACAGCGAGGACAGGGAGAGCAAACGGGGTTTGGTAGATGCTGTGATCGATTTTTTTCACAAAACGGGCTTAAAGGAAGAGGCGGGCTCCATTTGGGAAGTGGCTGCCGGGAAAAACGTGTACCCAGATGCTGTTAAAGAGAAGGGTAATTGCTATTGGCTCATAAATCTGCATGTTATGTCGGATGGGACAGCTGTCACTGCACTTTCGAGGACTCTTGCCTGGTTTCGTAAGGAGCTGCTGGTTTCGGGTATTTGCCCGATCCGGATTGATATTGTGACGGGTTGGGGCAGACGGAGCAGAGTTACAGGGTCGTCTCTCGTTAGGCAGGCGGTGGAGGAGCTGCTGAACGTGTTTGGGTTCCCCTTTTTCACGGAGAATGGGAACTCGGGTTGTTTTGTCGGGTGTGGGGAGCCGCTCAATCGGTGGCTTTCGCAGTCGTATGTTGAGAGGATGCATTTGCTGTAGGGTTTCTCTCTTCTTTTGGTTTTTTTTGTAAGTTTTTTTTTTTTTGGAGTAATTCTAGTGTTCATTGTGAACTGTTGTTGATCTATCTGTGTAAGATAAATTTGAGTAATTTTATGATTTTCAATCTTGGTGTGATGGGCTTTTTGTGGTTTTACTTCTATTGTGTGTAATATTGAAAATTTCTCAGATCACATTTTTTGGGCTCACCTCATTAGTTAGTCGTTTGAAATAATCACTTATGGGACTTGTTCCACGGGGTTACTTCGTTCTGGCATTATTTTACGAATAGCCGGCACACTTCCTCCAAGGAGTTCGGCAGGCGAGGATCGTATCTTGTGGGGCTTTTCCCAGGACGGTAAGTTCTCAACCAAGTCGGCATATCGGGCACTCATGCATGAGGAGAATATCCATGACAAAATTCTGTGGAAATTTATTTGGCGAGCACCGGCACCACAACGAGTTCGTAATTTTCTATGGTTGGCGGCTAGAGGCCGGATTCTCACCAACTTAGAGCGAGTTAGGCGTCATATTGCTAGCTCGGAGATGTGTGACTTTTATGGAGAGGATGAATCGTTGCTCCATGTTTTACGTGATTGTCCGACGACCAAGAAAGTGTGGAGCAGGCTGCTCCCGCAAGACCAGGTGCATGAAATTTTCCGGCAGCCCTTCAAAGAATGGGTAAGTACGAACTTGAGCAAGGCCAGATTGGGGACGGGTGAAGATTGGAGCATCGTTTTCTCATTCGCCGTATGGAGAGCATGGACATGGAGAAATGAACGGGTCTTTAACCAACGCATACTAAGCCACGAGTCTAGACAGATGGAGGTATTGCGGATGGCGGAAAACTATGCTTGGGTGACCGCGGCCTATGCGAAGGTAGGGGCTAGTGTATACACTACACGTCTCATACACTGGACGCCGCCCGATCCGGCTGGATAAAAGTGAATATGGACGGAACGTTTAGCAATTCCACTGGAATGGACAGTGCGGGAGGTCTCATTAGGGATGAGGTCGGTCGATGGATTGAGGGGTTTTGCATGAATATAGGTTTCTGCACCATTACAGGCGCCAAACTTTGGGGACTCTTACAGGGACTACAACTGGCTTGGGATTTAGGGTTTTGCCAGGTTATAGCAGAAACGGATAGCAAATGTGTAACGAGTATGCGGCACCAAAGACGACTTTGGGGCACATACGTCGACAGTAAGGGCCATCCGGACCATGGTCTAGAACAGTTGGAGTATGAGGATCCACCACGTGCATAGAGAAGCTAATTTTGCGGCGGATCACATGGCGAGTTTGGCGGCTTCTTCTTCGCTTGGTTTCCAACGTGTAGCGGACCCTCCTGTCTTAGGACACTGGCTTGATCAATGATCTTATGGGAGTTTCCTACCCCCCGCACATTCTAGCCTAACCGAACTTCTCGGCCTCTGGCCTCCTTCATTGTACCGAAAAAAAAATAAAATAAAATAAAATAATCACTTCCTTTCAAACTTGCTATCAGCTCATTAAACTAGTACAAAAATTCCATACACTAAGAATTTAAAAAACTTTTATCAACTTAGCATGATTCTAATACTTAACCATATATTATAACTCACCCAATTCAAACCTGATACAGAGAAGGAAAAATGCTCTTTAAACCATCAAATTCAAACCACACCAAAAATGCACATCAGAGCACTTAAGTTATTGTTGAATTAATTATCAAATTTCAACTCACAGGAAAAATGTAAAAAAGATGCATAAGGTCATGCAAATGCAGCTCAATCTCTCTCCAAAGCCTCTCATGCTTTTCTTGCCTCAATGTAAGCAAGTTGCATCTTTTGTTTGCTCCTCTAATAAGTGTTATTTATTAAAGAACTCTTGAAAATCACCTTTCATAATATTTCATTGGAATCAAATATTTTGAAAAAAAAAAAAATCATGGTTAAAAACTCCTGTCCTGAAATGCAAAAGGCCATTTGGGATGAAAGGGACGATGAGAAAACGTTCATCTACGGCTCGAAACAGCAAGGCGCGGGTAGTTGGACGACATTTTCCAAGAGATCGGGTAAGAGAACACGAGTTATTGATTAAGGTTTTCGAGCTGTGTATGCATATGAGCAATTAGGAAACTCTTGAAAAACATTGATTTTCAGTTTGGATGAGACAATTTCTCCTATGTTTGAGTTACTATTTACTGTCAGAATCTGAGAATCCCTTTTTGTTTTTTTTCTTGTAGCATAGATATCATAATAAAGTCTAATGTTTTTTGAGGCACAAATTCTTGTGTGAGACATTCTAACTGTTGGGCGAGACAATAGGTCATAATTTTTTCAATAAAAAATGGCATACGTACGCTATGAAAGGTCATATCTTCGTTCATATTCTTTTTCTTCATAGTATGATAATTCAGTTTGATCTTTTGAAAACGTACGATTGTCTAACCGTTAGACATGCCTAACAGTAACCTTACCGTGTTTTAAGAAATTTTAAGATACCATGCTATTTTTTTTTTTTATATAGTTTGTGCAGCAGGACAGAGGAGAAGTGGGAAAAGTAGCAGAGAAAAATGGAATAACAATTATAATATTAATAATAATAATCAGAAGCTTGATCCCAGGCAAAAGAGTTTTACCCCTCAAGAAGAAGATTTGGTTATACAGCTTCATGCAGCAATAGGTAGCAGGTACATCCAATACAATTTCTCTATTTTATCAAACAATATGTAAATAAATTGTAACATTTTAACTTTGTTCCTTAAAGATCTTTGGCTATCGTTTTTGTAACAGTTTATAAACTATACGAACCGTTGCCTAATTATACTTTTTCGACAAATGTGGATACTTTCGAGCTAAAACGCCGTACTCTAAAAAACAACATACCCGAATAAAGTATGGCATTTCATCATAGTATAAATATATATGTTTGTACAAAAATATGACAAGGTGCAAATTCTTTGACAAATATTTGTGTGTTCCTCTGCTTTTAGGTGGCCCATAATAGCCCAACAACTCCCCGGAAAAACCGAGAACGACGTGAAAGTCTTATGGAACTCCAAACTGCGAAAAAAGCTCTCGGCAATGGGAATCGATCCGGTGACTCACAAGCCCTTTTCCCAAATCCTTGCAGACTACGGCAACATAGGCGCGTTCCCCAAGGCTCGGACGACCCATTTTAGCTCCCTATCGAAGGACCTAAAAAAAACTGCAATCATTTTCAACAAAAGTACCGAAAAATCCCAAAAATGCCCTCAAACTCTTATTCCTCCAACTCATTTCTCATCATCGTCATCATCATCATCATCATCATCATCTTCACCTCCTATCGGTCTCTACTCCCAACTTCAAGCCGTGAATTTTATCACCGAGGCCTCGAACTACACAAAAACCGTAAACAATACCGCGAAAGAGTGCGAAAGTTATTCGGGCTTTAGTTGGGGTGATTTTTTTCTCGAGGAACCCTTCTCGGGCCAAGAAGCGGACGGGCAAGAGAATGGAGGGGCATTTTTGGAATTTGATGAAAATGTGGAGGGGAAGGGAAAATGTGGAGCCGCCGAGGATAAAAATGCCGGCTTTTTCGAAGGGCCTTCGAACTCGAAGTCTTTCGTGGATGCCATGCTGGAAAGCCAGGATGCCATGCTTTCTCAACTGACTTGCTTTTATGAGGAGCCATTTTACTACACTGATGAGAAATGATTTATCAATACTAAGTGTTGATTTTGTGTCGTAGGAATATATGAAAGTGATGAACAATGCAAGTGTCTCTGTAATAAATTTATTGATAGGAGTATTGAAGTTGTTGATCTTTAGCTCCACATCAGTTTGACGTTGACTCAAATTCATCTGGTGTATTAAGGTAAATTATACTTATGTTTGAGTGTGTCGTCAAACACTCGAGCTTATAAAATATATGCTCCGAGTTCATATCGAGCACCTCGAATTCAACTCAAGTACAGTCAAACTCGAGCTTGAATCGCCCATTAACTCAAATCATATGCTACCTCACGTACAAATCGACATTGACTCGATTGTACGTTAAGGCTCGTGAGCTGCTCGATTCATTTTCACCGCTAGTTTGCAGCCACATAAATAGGCAATTATCCTCAGACCCTGTGTTGTTTTGTTCTCATTATGGATTTTTGTCTTGGAATTTGGGGTTTGTACTCTTTGTCATGTGTTCTTTTGCGCGTATTGAATGACTACTGGACTTGATGGCTATGGTTGATCAATCTAACGTTGCTGTCTATTAGGATTTTTTATGGAGTTTTTTGCTCGAAATGTTTCTTTGTGTATAGTATTCTGTAAATTCATTGTTTTCGTGTTTGTATTTGCAACAATATCACGTTTCGCAGAAATTTAATTCATTTTCTCTGTTTGAGTCGAGCACCAAAGATATTCGACCGATCGAGTTTGACCAAATTGGTATGGAACACAAATTATTTTACGTCGTTAAGTGATTCGGATACATGTTGACACGACACAATTTGTGGCAATGATTTAAATGAAACTGAGGAGAAGCTGTTGTGATGGTTACTTCTCTTCGTATCTTATATATTACCTTCGAAGACCGCTGAAGGGAATCATAAGTACAATCACTTTTCTGACCATGTCATATTTTCTATTCTCACCTCTGTTCCGATTCTTATGCACGTCTGGTAGAAAAGCATTTCGGAAAAAGCTACCAGTGATGCGAAGGAACGAACAAAGGAGGTCAAGGAGAATTTGAAAATTTTGAATGAGAAAAAACGCAGTTTGGTACAAGTGCTGAAACAGGTAAAATATATATATTTTTTGTCGAGAGCGAAGATCCTGTTGCTGCTATGACATTTATATCATAATAATCATACTAATGTGGTATTCCTCTGCTC